GGTAAAAACTGGATATTTTGAGTGTTATAACTTGGCAACTCTGGAAATCAGATTCTTTCTTCTCCTAAGTGTTAGCTGGTGCCGCTTATTGTGGGTTGTTGGCTTTTAAACTATTTTTGTAAATCCGTATTCTTTGTCATGTGGGGCCATTGAGATCTCTCTTCTTAGTTTAGTAACCAGCTAGTTATTCAATAGAGATTTCCTTAAATGCCCGGAGCCAAAAACGAACAAACCCCAAACTCTCCCAACCTTTGCAGGTTAGTTCTGTGTTGGGGTGCTCCTTCAACACTTAGTGAGGCCATTAACAATTCTGCCTTAGCCTTTTCTTCCTGTTTGCATGGAGTGCAGAGGTCATTCAGAGGGGAAACTTAAGGTCTTCTCAAGTCTTTTCAGAGCATGGGTCTATCTCTGAGCATGCAGGTGGCCTACTGGAGCACCTGGTATACATAGGAATTTTAAAAAGCCCCTTTCCCCTCAAATATCTCATTTCTCAGCTTCTTCCTTCACAGGTTTTTGATCTGTTAGTAGTCCCGTTTTCCCTTACCTCTCATGGTTACAGCTAGTACATTTGCTTTTAAATACTTTTGACAAAGGTCACCTGGGAAGCTGTTTCTGTCTTGGGTGAGCTCTAAGGCAGATGAAACAAAAGCAAGCCCTTTAGTCAATCCCTCAGGGACCCATCAGACAGATTAAAACACACAACCACAATTATTTGAGAATAAGGTCCACACTGCTCCTTATAGTAACAGCACCCTGCCCTAGGAATGTAGGCTGTCATCTTCATGGCCACTGCAGATCTGGAGAGTGGAGGATGGTAAACAGATAAGTTAGAAGTGTTTATGGAATTTCTTTTGGAAATTCTGTAGCTTCTTTCTTCTTCAAGTGTTCCTCTGGTTGTTGTAACTTTTTAATTAGATTCCAGAGTTCTGAGAAAGTTGATTCTGACAGTTTTTGCTAACTTATTTGTTACTTTTGTGGAAGGATGGAGTTTTGGACTTCCTTCTTCCACCATTTTTGGTGATATCACTCTTAGCAACATCTTTAAAGTACAGTATCAGTGCCCCTTGTTCTATTC